TTTTCGGATAAAGACATGAGAATATGAAACGTTTTCGAGCGAAGTTACTATCTAAAGATGAGTAGGACTTATCTTTATTTCATCATCCATATTTTTTCTGAACTGCACGTATTCGTCGTTCTCGTGCAAGTAGTGTTATTTTCCGATTGTTTCGATGCAAACGTAAATCAGTATGTTGCGCCACGTTGACGTAAAAGCTAGCTATTGTGGACTGAATTTTTTTGCCCAGTTCTTGAAATTCAATTATCTTACAGATACAATAATTGTGTGAGTGGTACGCAAATTCTTCTACTATTGTTTCCCGCGAGAAACAATTGTTTGTAAAATGCAATGACAATTTGTCATAGTTAAACTATCTTCAGAAAAATATCTTAGCGCTTTTCTCTCGAAAACTTGCGTAAATATACAGTGCAAATTAATATCAATTCTGCTCATGTCGTCATTTTGATGTCGTTGTGGCAATAAAAATATCATTTTAACACCAAAATGATTTTGATGTCATTTGCTGTGAAGCGACATAAGATTAAGTGGCACGTACATCCGATAAAGAACTTTGCCGGATTTTAATCGAATGATTACACATAAAGTGGCAAGTTACAGTAATAAGCAGAGAAGTAATTGCTTTTTGTCATTTCAGCGGAATTGATGCCGCAATGACATTATGGTTTGCAATATTTTATTTTGAATGACTTATGACTCAAACGCAATGGAATATTTTGAAACAAGCTTTGGAAATGAAAATATTGTAATAACTGTGTATAAACAGTAAGTCAATCATTTAGAATATGTAATAAGATTTCGATATGTGTGTTAGATTGTGTGATGATAATGAGAAAAGTTAAAAAAAGATTTTTTAACTTGAAAAATATATTTAGATTTCCTTGGTATTTATTTTTTTGCTCGTGTAAAAAAGCAAATCGAAAACTTGGCGCCAAGCGGAAGCGACAAAATAAAAATGCAACGGTCGCACCAATTTTAAAGAACCAGATTTAAATCAGTTGGCAAAACCCAAATATCTCATAAATTCGTGTCAAACGAGAAAATGAATGGAGAATAGATTTCAACTCCCGTCCCATAATCGTGTTGCATTGAAGCGCGTTCCACTGAAGTCTCACTGGAATCGTTAAAACGTTTAATCTCAATTCTTAATCGTTAAAACGATTAATCTCTCTTTAGCATTATAGGAAAAAGTTCACAGTTAAATTTTAATTTCCGATCTTAAGAAATTAATTCAAAGTGCACAATATTTATTTAGCTTGCGATGAAAACTTTTCGATTGCGTTACTTTTAAGACATTAGAAATCGTTGAAAATATTCTGAATACAAAACTGACCTATAGAAAGAGAAATGGTGGAGATACGGCTAACCATGGTGCAGTGGAGATGCGCCTGAAAAATTTCCAGGACCAGAAGCAGCTACGGCAATCAAGTCGGTTACGAAGAAGCCTAATCTGCGACTGTCAATCGTGGGTGGTACAGAAACGCCGGTAGACCGTTTAACTCCCTTAGACCGTCACGGCGTCACTCGTTGATGACGATAGATCAACGTATCGATCGGTGCCGCTTGTCACGGCGCTTTAAATATTACCTTCCTCGCGAGCGGGAACACAATCGCGCGAGTAGGCGCAATCCGAAAATCCTTCCCCACTTACTGTACTGCTCGCAATTGAGGAGTCGCTAAGTCACTAGTCCGTTATTCCATATATCATACGAATGCACCTCGCGTCGCAGTAATAATTATCTGTTACGAATATCTGTTGTAAATATGTGCTTGTAATAAAATATGTGACGCAACTCTTGCGCAACGTAGTAAAAATCCAATCTGACAACAAATTATTTATTTATTTATATTTATTTATTGCAATCATCATATTTTTTTATTATTACTGACTCGAAGCATATATGTAATTTATTTATTGATATTCGCAAGGATTAAGCTCTGAAAATTCTTTTTTTTTTATGAAAGTGTAGTTTACAATATACATTAAAGGAACTTATAAAAATGATCAAAGTTTATATAGAAGTTATAATGGAAAGATGTAGAATGTAACAGACAAAAACTTTCTTTTTATTTTCGGTATTAAATTTAATTTTATAGATAAAATTTCTTATTTATTTTACATTAAAATAGTATTTCTTACTTGGAACAAAAAAGTTATTTACTTAAATCAATGAAATTAGTGAGAAAATGAAATTTTATGTGATATTTCATATTCACAATCAATTTTAAATTAATTTATTAATATTCTCTTGAATCTTGCTGCTTTTTTTCACACATCGATAGATTAGTAATGATCTAAATATTCTAAATGAGATTCCTAAAAATAGACAATACATTTGTCACGTGATTCTCTGTGTAAGTGTGTACGCGTAGCATAAATCACACGTAACAACAAAGATCAGAATTAAGAGATATACGCAGCAATGAGAATATGCCGACTTTACGTTGAACAGACGATAGATTTGTTTAATTAACTTGTAATCTCTCAGTTTGCCATTGCGTCAAGAAGCTGCTGGAGAACCTGTCAGACGGAAAAGTTAATTCTTACATGATCGGTCTGGCAATATTTGCTTTAATTACGAATGAATTAAATTGCCCCATGGCGACCACCAACGGCGAACATTTTAAATAACAGAACTCATGATCGCGATCTCGTTTTGAGCGCGATACGCTTGCTACTTTTGTGAGCGCTCTTTATCTCCGAAATTTGCACAAAGGGATGCTCTGGCAAATTTCATTATTATTGACCATTGGAATATTTCGTAACATTAAATGTAATGATTAAAGTTCACGTTTTAAACGCTACGGAATGTTTTGTATTTATGTAAGAGAGACTGTATTCGTAAGAATTCGTATTTGATCTTCCATAAAAATTGTATGTTTTATATGATGTAAATTGCTCATATTAAGCAAATATGCGACAAATATTTTTTTTCTAAAATAACTGTTTAAATATGTATTCTAACATATTTGTATATTATTTATAAATAAGAAAACTCATGTTTAGGATTAAATTTATATTATAATTTATATTATAATTTAAGCCTAAAAACTAACAATAAAAAATGAGAACAAACAGTTGTTTAGAAACATTTTAAATATATTTATTATATTTATTTCCGTTAACCTAAATGTCAAACATAGATTATTTAACTGATAAAACAATGTTTCCTTTTTTTAAATTAATGTGCAGAAATTAATTTTTAATGAAATAAAAAGGAACCTCTTATGTACTTCATCAATTGCTTTAATGTGTGTGTGTGTGTGTGTGTGTGTGTGTGTGTGTGTGTGTGTGTGATTAAAATATGTTCTTTTAAAGTTCCTTGTAGAGTGGAGCTCACTTTGAAGAGTGAAATCTCACTCTTAAAGATTAAAAATTGAGCCACTTATTTTTCAAAGCTGGCTCAATTATTTTCACATTTTAGAGGGAGAGAGTAAGGTTCCAAAAAATTTAGAAAGAATGTTATTTCTGAAGTTCTTTGAATTCTTGTTACAGATAACGTTACACCTTAAATATAAAGTTCCTAAAGTTATAACAAGAGTTAATAACGAGAAGGTGTGTATGCGAACAATAGGTGTCAGTCGGAATGACGCGAACAATTATAAGAATGTTTGTCTTGGGTGCGGTTCTTCTTTCATTAAGAGGACCAGAAACCCTTGAAGAGCGAAGAATTAATGTTCATTAACCTGAGAATTAGATCCAGTTCAATTATCGCTATAAGTTATAATATTTGTTACAGAGAATAAAAAGTTCAAAATGTGAACATCTTATATGACATCTTATATTGACATGATTATATAACACATTTACATGACATATTTGTTATAGTATCAAAGGTATTGACATTGCAGAGTCAGTATCTAGGGATCTTTCGAGATGACAAAACGGCATTCGCAATTATATAATTCCTAATGATATATAATTGATACATAATTCCTAATATTAACGGCTCATTGCGATAACTGTAATTAATTAATTGTAATTACTGCAAATCAATTGTATTTTAATCAGTATATAATTTATAAAGTAAATTGTTAAAAAGAATAATAATTTTATAAATATCTATTTCTTGTTAAATACATAAAAGTATATCTATATAAAACGTATTTAAAGAAAAAAAGTAAAATATGACTAACGGATTTATCTGAAGAAAACGCTTTCAATTAATTTGCTTCAACTTGTGATATATTATATGTTATAGTTCTTGCATCTTTTATTAAAAATCTCATTGGGCGAAACATCATTATTTCTAATTTCTGAGTCAAAGATATTTGAAAGTATCTTTTATTGCGATTTTCGTGTTTATTCATTTGTTTACATAAATTTGTATTTGTGTATGTGTGTATATATGCGCATGCATATTGAAAATGTTAAAGTAGCAATTATAACAGTAAAAATATATGATTATATTCTACAGTTTCATCTATCGTTGGGTCATCGCGTGAGCGTGCACGCACACATACGCGCGCGCGCGCACACACACACACACAGAGAGAGAGAG